AGCATATCCTTCTTGGATTATATTCCCATGAATCCTTGGTGTCTTGGTTCGGTCGATAGGATTAACAAGACCGATAGCCACCTTGATTGTAGAATTCTCCTTCGAATGTGTAGCTCACACGTTGTACAAGGTTCATGGACGTCATCCACGAGGAAGCGCAATCCTGTGTCCCCTTGATTTGGTATCTCCGTGGAAGCGCAGCTTTGCTTTTCAAGCCCATGCAGTTGGCTAATGTTGATTTCTGCTCGATGCAACTTGCACTCACTTGCTATTTGCACTTGCCTTCCGATTTCCTCCTGCATTCTCGCTTCAAGGTTTTTTTCCGCTCACATGCTTCACGCACCGCTTCCTCCAATCTCTGGAGCTGCTGTGTGCCTCTTCTTCCTTCTTTCTCTGGCGACTTCTTATGAAGAAGGTCATCCTAAAGGAATCCATGCTCCCACGAGACACTTCCTTTGCCTCTAGTTCGGCCACCATGTTCAATAGTCCCGATGGCGTATGTCAGCTCATCCTTCTCTCTGTCTGAAGGGAACATGTTGTGTAGGAACACAGGACCGAGAGTGAAAATCTCCTTGACTAGGTGAACTAGGAGGTGTGTCATAATATCAAAGAAGGAAGGAGGGAACACCAACTCAAAGCCGACGAGACATTGAACCACATCATTCATAGTTTAGCTAGATCGTTAGATCAATTGCCTTCTTGAGAAATTGCATTGAGGAATGCACATAGCTTCACGGTGGCTAGACGTATATTTGGAGGTAGAATTCCTCTTAATGCAACTGGAAGTAATTGCGTCATGAGAACGTGACAGTCATGGGACTTTAAGTTACATAATTTCTTCTCTGGCACATTTATAATACCCTTTATATTCGAGGAGAATCCAGATGGTACCTTGATGTTGTTTAAGCATTCAAACATGATTTCCTTCTCCTCTTTGCTTAGAGTGTAGCTAGCAGGGCGTAAGTAATGGCGTCCATCATCTGCTTCTCTGGATGCAAAGTTGTCTCTTTCTCTCAAACAACGCAGCCACCTGTCATTTGCTTCAAATGTGTCCTTAGGCTTTCCATACACACCCATAAAGCCTAGCAGGTTCACACAAAGATTCTTCTTCGTCAGTGCATCACGTCGATCGAACTACGGACCTCCGTGACTTGCCAATAGGGTAGGTCCCAAAATATGGACTTCTTCTTCCACATGGGTGCGTGACAATTAGCGTCTTTTGGAATAGGTTGGCTTCCATGTCCTTTTCCAAAGACGCGACTTTCACATCATTGACCATATCGAGTACATCCTCACCGATTCGGGTTGCGAGGCTTGGTCAGGTGGTCTGCCTTCCCTTTAAAATGCTTGCCTTTCTTTCTTACGGGGTGATTTGCAGGAAGAAATCGACGATGGCCAAGGTACACGACCTTTTGACATTTTTTCAAGAATACACCTCTAATATCACCGAAGCGATGTGTGCATGCATTATATCCCTTGTTTGATATCTCCGAAAGATTACTTAGAGCAGGCCAATCATTGATTATTACGAACAACAATGCTCAAGTAGATCAAAGTGTTCCTGTTTGTACTCATCCCACACACGTACACCTTCTTTATTCCACAAAATGAGAAGTTCGTCAATAAGTGGTCTCAGGTACACATCGATGTCATTGCCAGGTTGCTTCGGGCCTTGGATGAGCACAGGCATCATAATGAACTTCCGCTTCATGCATAACCAAGGAGGAATGTTGTAGATACTTAGAGTAATAACGGGCCAAGTGCTATGACTACTGTTACGCTCTCCAAAAGGATTGATACCATCTGTACTTAAAGCAAACCTTAAGTTTCTTGCGTCATTTGCAAACTCCGGGAATTCTCTCGTCGATTGCTCTCCACTTTGGGACCCATCGCCAGGTGTCTCAACATATTGTCTACCTTACGGTCTTCTTTGTGCCATCGTAACAATTTTGCATGTTCTTTGTTTACGAATGATGTGTTCAAGCGTGGTATTATAGGAGCATACCACATAACCTTGGTAGGGATTTTCTTACGCGGACGTTAGCCTCAACATCACCAGGTCATCATCTCACCGATCTTATACCGCATGACGCATGGCATAACGGGCATGCATCCAATTTCTCGTACTCTTTGCCACGATGCAGATGCGCTGTCATTAGGACATGCATGTATCTTCTCTATTTCTAGCCCCATAGGACGTATAACTTGTTTTGCTTCGTAGGTAGTGGCGGGCAATTCATTGTACTTCGGAAGCATCTTCTTTTGGATTTTAGTAACTCTCCAAATCCCTTGTCGATACACCATTCTTTGCCTTCCATTGCGAGCAATTCTAGTGTGGTTCCCAACTTTTTTGCCTGCATCACAAGTTGGGTACAACAATTTCTTGTGATCTTCTAGCATCCGCTCGAACTTGATCTTCTCCTTTTCACTTTCACATTCTCTTTGTGCGTCACGAATGACTGGGCAAAGATCATCACCGGCTCATCTTCTGCGGCTACCTCTTCTTCACTTCTCCCATTGCGGTATCATTGAAGCACGCACCATCAAGAATAATATCATTGTCGTCCCATTGTTCTTCTTCACCTTCTTCCATTACAACACCGGTTTCTCCGTGCTTTGTCCAACAAATATAGTTTGGCATGAAACCCGACTTGAACAAGTGTGAATGAAGAGTCCTTGAGTAAGGATATTCCACCGTATTCTTACATATGGCACATGGGCAGACATGAAACCGTCGCGTTTGTTTTTGCCTCGGCCGCACGTAACAAAGAATGCACGCCATCAATGAACTCTTAGGATTTACGATCAGCATTATACATCCAATGACGGCTCATCTACATTACATGACATAACTATTATATTAAAACCTAGATCATAATTAATTATTTATACAACATGCGTGCCACCACAAAAGATATAAATTTATGAAAGCATGGCTACAATGTAGACAATCCCAACTACCACTAAAAGAACTAAAGCTAAAATACATTTCAGGAGCACAAGGATTTCATGACCAATCTCAACTAAAATGCAGACAGATCCCCCGATTGTGCAACATCTTTGGGCTTCTTGGTGGATCACTGCCTCATTAGCCATGTGTCTGCCTTTTTGTGCAAGATATTTTTGCACGAGTTCAACATACTCTTCCTCCCAAATAGAAGCCTGAACATCGCCCATCCTTTGCCATCCCAATCAAAATTAAAACAAAAATTAGAACTTTAATCACAACCATCATGAAAATAGGTATAAACTAACCATAATCATTAAATACGATAAAATAACTCACATTGCGATCCGGACACTTGTAGAAGATACGATCCTTGTTGGGACCCTCCTTCTTCACTCGGTACTCCATCACAATCTTCGTCTCATCACGACACTTGCCGCATGGAATGAGAGGAAGGCCCGCCTAAGTCGCTTTGAAACCCATGAGAGGCCGAGGACCCGGAAGCGATTGCCATCTACTCTCTATACTCATTTTTAATACACTATAAATTTCTCCTTTTATAAACAAATAAAATTAACAAACTATAAAATTATCTAGATCTCTAAACAATGATATTTTTAATGGTCATTGTGTTCTCGCTTTTTTCTTTGCGGCGGTGTAAGTAATTCACATGATATTTCCATAAATTAACGTAAGAATGGGAGTGTACACACATAACAGAGACTCATCATGATTTATATCGGGACGTGTGAATAAATAACCATCCGTTTTAGTTGACCTTGCTTACGTGATCATCTCGTGAGCATTTCTCCACCGGACGACACCGTGCTTGGTCAAGGAAGAGCTCCGATTCTACAAGGAAGGGAACACGGTCTTCCACGACCGTTGCCGCTCTCCCTCGTAGAATCAAAGCTCCTCCTTGACGTCCGCTACCGCTTCGGCAGAGAGAACATGGTCGCCGAGATGAACACGGTCTCTAAGTTCAACTAGCTACTTTAACCTTCTTTCATGTAAATATGCAAGCTTGAAGTGATTTTGAGCTCAAATTGCTTACAAATGAAAAAACCACAATAAAGAACCATATATATATATATATATATATAGTGAACAAAATGAGATAAGACAATGGTGAAAAATGAGAGTATGAGATTGGTAACCTTTACAACTGAAGAATCGATGGAGAAATCAAAGAAATCGACGGAGGAATCGAAGAATAGATGGAGGAACAATGGACGGAGGAGGAAGCAAGAACACTACTGCAATGAGCTTCAAAATACGCTAGAGCTCAGGCTCGGGAGGAAGAAGGAGACGGCCGATATATAAGGGGGACCTTTAGTCCCGGTTGGTGGATCCAACCGGGACTAAAAGGTAATCTTTCAACCCCGGGCGCAGCCATGGCCCGGGAGTAGATCTTACTCCCGGTTGGATCCACCAACCGGAGTAAAGATTGAGTCCCGGTTGGAGGCTCCAACCGGGACTAAAGGTTCCTGCCACCTGATCTCTCTATTAGCGCAACCGTTGGGCAGGGGCCTTTAGTCCCGGTTGGAGCCTCCAACCGGGACTAAAGGTATTTCTAGTCCCGGGGGCAAAAAATTCCGGGACTACAGTCCATTTTGGCCGAGGATCAAAGGTCTATTCTCTACTAGTGTATTCCTTCATGACTAATCTTCAAAAAACAACAAGTCTACACTGCACAAACCAGCTGGTAATAAAAAAAATTAGCATGTTATTTTAAGTGAACTTAACTTCAAAAGTATACTTTAACACTAACATGCTATACAATAAAGCAAACTCAGCATTAGAAATAAAAACACTAAATAAGCATTATTTAGTTTATCAGATATGGCTATAAGCATGTAATATCTAGCGTATGAGAGCAATCGTGATTACTCTTCTTGGTCTTGTGTTTATAATAGTATAACAGGTAAACAGAATGCCAAAACATTTCAAGTTACGTTGTATGTGACAAAATCGAAGGAAACTATGGAAGATAAATCCACATATAGTTACCCAGTCAACCCAATAATAGGCATAAAAATAAGACACCATCCAATCACCCTGTTCGCTTGAAAAGAAGTGAGGTACCGGTTTGGCTGTTCATAGTTTGGACCAACATTGGCAGATGAGGAACTTGGTATTGCAGTATCAGAGCCTGTTGTTCTTGCTGGAAATAACAAGCATTTGGCAAATAAAATTAGTGTACAGCACTATGGAGTGGAAGTAAAATAAAGCCTAGGATCCACCTTCTTAGGCATGTTCCTTGACAATTATTGAAAATTAGGAACAATCATTAAGTACCCTAGATATAAATAGTGGATTAATTTATTTTTATATTATTACTTACACTGGTAGGTAGTTCTGTAGAAAGCATAGTCGTCTTTCCTAGAAATGGAACCTGGGATTGCCCTCCAGTTATATCCTGTCCTGAAAAGGGAAGAAACATTATGATCTGCATCGATAATATAGGGGACAAAATAAGGCGGCGGCTAAGGCTGGCGTGGTGCACCTTGTGTACTACTAGAGTTCAAGCAATGTACTAATTGTTAATATTTACTGATTTTTATGTATACGTATATGTGCAATAGAACGTGCACATCTCCTTGCACTATTTGAAAAGTTACGACAGGAGAAAAAGAAAAGAACTCCAAGCCTTAACTGATTCCCTCGGTTTGAGTTGAATTTGGGCATGATGGGTTTTCCACATTAGGCATTTCGCCATTTTCTTCTTGACGTTGCCCTACAAAAATGTTACTGGTTACAAATCCAATTGAAATTTCATCCTAAGAAAATACCAAAACTACGCACATCAAACTTTTATGCCAAAAACGTGTCAGCGAAACTCTCTCTCTCTCTCTCACACACACACACACACCCGCATCTTAAACACACAGACAGAGTTATTTTCATAAAACTATATTTCTGGTGGAAACAGGAAACATTATTTTAGGTACCAGCTTCACAAAATTACATTTGTAATCTATGGTCCAATTAAGCAGTAACTGTGTGGAGTTTATAAATTCTAACGGTATGAAGTAGAAAAGGTTCCAATAAACTAAAATTAACAAAAGTTTCAAATTCAGAACAACTGAAGATGTACCATAGAATCTGGGAAAGAATAGTACTTACTTTGTCTGTTTGACCTGTTATGGCGCAAGTTGCTTTGTCTTGCTGGCCTGTCATGGCCCCGCACATAGAAAGGATTTGATAATCCTTCTAGAACTCGTTCTTCTGTTGGCAACACTACCATCACCCCAAGCCTAACCTTCTTGTTACTGGAGTTACTAAATATTGTAGAACCACTGTGAAGTTTAGCTCCATGAACAAGGTTAAATCGGCCGTTACTCACTATTGATTTTACTGGCTGATCCGCATCTCCCATTGTAGGATTTCCTTGTCGTGATTTCTTTACGTTGCTCTCAAAATCCTCTCTGGACCAATTGTATTGGTTATCATGTTGATTGAACTCTGCATTAATGACAACCAACTCAACTGTTGCAGAAGCAAGGGGTCCATTTTCCACAGTTTGATCACTATTACTATCAACTAGAGCAACACTTATCTCTATGGATTGCCCCTTTTCAATTTTCTCAGCCACCTGAGATCTGAATACCAATCGGTAGCTTGGTGACTTGATTTGACTCGGTTGTGATCTACAAAAGTAGAGGAAACTATGCTAACTTAAGAAGTAAAACAACATAGTAAAGCTAATAGAGTATAACTTTTCTGGGACTGTGCAACAGATTTGGCCAAGTCATGGTGGCGATATGAACTGTAAAACACTCTTTGATATGTAGTCGGTCCTGAATGGAATGCTAATGGACTAGGGGTTTCTGGATCTCTCAAAAAAAGCTAATAGAGTATACTGATTCTATTTCTAGTATATATCATTAACAAATTTAATAATAGCTTCAATAATTTACTCCTGGCACTGTGCCCTGAAAAAGGTTATATGAAGGTGCATAGCAAACAATACCTTGGAGCATGAGAACCATCACCACTTGTGCTGTTAGTATGAAGCTTCAATTGTTTGCATAGATCATTGTGGCTTTCAGTAAGCTTCTCCAACTTTCGGGTTTGATCATTGCGACTTTTAGTAAGCTTGTCCAACTGTTTGCACAATTTACTAATGTCTTCCTTACTTTCAGTTAGCTGCTTCGATTGTTTTCGTATCTCCTCCTTGATCTCTGACAGCATCTGTATGATCACTTTGCCCTGAGAGCATGTTAACTGTTAGCATGATTATTTTGTGGAATACAAAATTCTATCTGACAGAGACTTTGTATGGTACCCCGGCCGGATACCTATTAGGAGGTAATAACTCAAATAAATCAGAGCTATTGATTTTTAGAGATTTATAAAATAATTAAATAACTACTAGTAGTGTGCCCCTGCTAACACTACGGTAAAATACAAAACAAGATAAAATTTGTTAAAAATAAAATGAACAATTAGATTCATTAACATTCATGTCATATATATTGTATAACCAAACATTTTTTATCACAATGGATGTCACATAATGACTGTACAAAAAGAAAGAAACATTCACTTAGTAACAAGTGATTTTGTGTAGTGGTAAGTGAATTTCACGTGAACCTTTAGGTCGCGAGTTTGATTCCTAGCTACCTATGTCGAATGTGTGATTTTTTTTGCTATACATATCCTTAGGGGTCATGGACGAAAATATATACCCTCCTTGATGCTGTTGAAAATATAACCTCATCCTTTTGTCCTGCCAAACCCCAGTCCTTCCTTGAGGGTTGGCCGCCAAGAATGATTTCCTTGGCCCATATCATGGTTTCCTTGAGGGTTTTGGCCCTCAAAGGTATTATGTTTTGTGGTAGTGTAATGAGATAATTTTGTTTTGGTTGTGCTTAGATTATCGCCAACCACTTGCCTTGTCTTTCTTGATAATGTTGAGCGCCTGTCAGAGGGACTTCTTCTTCCTCCTCCTCCCTGATCGGAGTGGATGGCATAAGTCTTGAGACTGCCGCCTGGTAGACAGAGGTGGCATTTGTGAGCCCAAGTGGGAGTCAATCTAGGCTTAGACTGCAGTTGTCCGATGGCTTAGAAGCCGACTCAGAAAACTTGGTCATGTCCGAGTTGGACTCGAACACCTTGGGCTGTTTCTATGTCCAGGTAGGACTGGAAATCGAAAATTCACCAAAATTCTCGATGAGATCTTCCAGCGCATCTTGACGAAGAGCTGGATGAGCTTGATCTGCCATGGTCTCCACGAGGCAACTATGGAGCTTGCCGGAGTTGTCCGCCATGCAGACCCAGGAACCGAAGGTGTAGGTTGATCCCGCCGGGAACATCATGTCGATCTTGAGGTCAACCGAGCTTCCGATCGCTTTTTTTGTCGAAAGGCCCTACCTGGCGTGCCAGCTGTCGGTGTCTAACGATTAGCAACCTTGCTACCGGGTTACTCGAAACAAGGATTGGTCAAGCTTCGGCGTAAACTGAGCTCGTTGGCTAACGCAAGACAGCAATTTATATAGGTTTAGGCCGCTGAATAGTGTAATACCCTACGTCATGTGTGGTGTATTAGCTTGCATTGGATTGCTTTGTACGATATGTTATGAGAGGGTGCTCCTACCTCTGTTTATATAGTCCAAAGGGTAGGCACATAAGTCTAGTCTTAGTCGGTTATAATAGAAAAGTTCTAATCATATTACAGAGACTTTCCAATAATCCGACTAGGTCGATCCTTCTAGACTAGGAAGCCACGCCACCTTGTTTCGCGTCTTCCGGGCAGACCATGGGCCGACCCATCTCCATCAACCGGCCCCTTCCTTGACTCCAGCCGCCCGTCCGATCCCTCTCTGGCCCCATCCACCATCATCGCGGGTACCTCCGCCCCGGTCGCTTGCTACACAAGGTCGTGAGCTCCGCCGAGCACAAGAGCTCCTCCGTCCTCCCCACTCTGGCGATCCCCTCTCCCCACTCCAGTGAACCCTCATCCCCACCCCCCAGCGACCCTCCCTAGATCTACGACTATTTCGCCAGCGCCGCCTCTCCTCCCCTCTCCCTTGTAACACCCTAAAATTTGCAATCTTTTAAAATAGTAAATTTGATTTATTTATGTTATATTGTGTGCATTTAAATATAGGAAATTAATAATTTTTGGGAAATTAAAATCAAATATAAGGAATAGAAACATGTTGATGCATTCATGCTGCTGTGCATTTGTTTTTGTAATGATTAGCTTTGACTAAAATTTGAATTGAATTCAAATTTACCTTGAAAATGAGATTGGAAAAATTTATTTATAAAAAGAAAAAGGAAAATTCCTTCCATTCCTCCCCTTCCTCTCATTCGCCCATGGCCATTTCTTTCCCATGACCCGGCTCTACCAACTGACCTTGACCCACCCTTTCCTTTCTCGGCCCGACTTGCTTTTACCAATCCAGCCTGTTCCATGTACTACCAGCCTTGACCAGTCCAGCAAGATCTCTATGAATCACGCCACCAGCCGACGCCGGGCCCACCCCACAGCCGGCGCCGCCCCAACCTCCCGTCCCGCGCCCGCTCCCAGTCAAAAGCGGAACCGCCGTTCAGCGCCTGGCGTCGTGGGGCGCGCCTCGTGCCCCTCAACCTCGTTAAAAAGGCAGCCGAGCCCCCCTCGTGCGCCTCTGCCCCGCTCAATTTAAGCCCGCTCACGCACTTGGGAGGCCCCAAGAACTGCTGCTCCGAGGTCGCTGGATTTCGCCGTCCACCTCATGGCAGCAGCCATCTCGAGCCGCCTCATTCCGATTTTTCGCCCGTGGTGAGCTCGCCGTGGTCCCTCTCTCTCCCCATGCGTTTCATTTCGCGTTTACGTGGCTTATAGCGCCCAATCCGCGTCTTGCCGTGAGCTCCATGCCGCCCGCCATGGCGCCCGCCTGCTTTTCTTTCCCCTCCGCCGTCTTCTCGACCCGTGCACGACCCCTTCTTCCCCGAGCTCTCGGGTGCCTCGGTTCCTGTTTGGCGGACCCTAGCCCCCCCTATCCGAGCTCATGGCGTGTTCTTTGTCATGGCCATGGCTAGCCTCGCGGGAGTCCTGTTCCGCCGGCCAACCCTCCCCCTCCCGTCGATCCGAACCCGTCCATCGCGTGATCTACTGACTGAAATAGAAGATACCCCCCTTCGGGGTAAATTTGCTAAAGAGCCCTGGATTTTTCTAAGTCCTAACCCGCCGTCCTTAGCGTATTTCCCCGAATGCGCAATCCCGTTTAGAAAACGTAAACTTCACTGTTTAAGTCAAAAGTACGCTTTCAGTATTTACCGAAATGCCATTCGAATTGTTTCGCTTATATAATTGTCGTTTTAACTCCGAATTGATCCATTCAAATCGCGTTAGCTTCGTAATTTCATAAGCTACATGATGACGCTACTGATAGTCAAGTTTGGAACTTTTTAATTTCATGATTAGAATTAATTAAATATGGGGCTACAGGAAAACCCGTTTTAATCATAACTTTCGCATTTTAGCTCCGTTTTTCGTGAACTTCGCGTTGACGTGATCGTAGAGAAACGTAGATTAGTTTTACAAATATTTTATTTTGATTTCAATACTGTTGGAGTACTGTTCTAATGATAGGAATGTTTGCTTTGCATGAATGCTTTTGGAATGTTGTATGTTGCCATGTTGGTCGCGTTCAGACGGTGAGGAAAACGTTGGAGACCAAGAACTCTTCGACGACCAGCAGGAACAGCACGAGTTTGTGAACCAAGGCAAGTATAACATGGGCCTTCCTTGATGTCCTATTTCACTTTAATCAATTACTCATTTGCATGTGTCTAATTTTGATACCCGTAAGGACATCCTAGTGATTGTTTATCCTGTTCCTTGTACCTATGGGTTAAATGCATATGGGTAGATTGCTAGTGCTCTAACTGAACTTGATATACCTGTTGATGAATGATACTATGGAACAAAGTGAGTAACATGATTTATAACAACTGTTCCATAGGGCGAAAGGGCAAATGACCTTTGTTCATGTTGCTTCCGGCCCTCCATAAGGACTTATCTGTCGGCAAAAAGCCCCACAAAGGCAACCGGGAGAGTCATATGGCTCTGACTTTAGCTCAGTAATAGGACCTTTTCTAGATAGTTAGAGGTTACCTTTTTGGCGCAAATGGGGCTTGCCACGTTGGGTATAGGACTGCCTCTGTTCCTATGTGTATAGCCGCGATGGATATATGCCATAGGAAAAGGGGGTTCCTACATCTGCCTGCCAAGGAAACCTAGCGGCCCTAACTTGTTAGGGAAACCTATGAAATGGCTTCATAGTGTACCCTGCCCGCTCACCTTGGAAGTGACATGGGAGTAATTAACCCGGGCATATGGGGATCACGACTCATGGTGAATGTGCACCACCTCTGCAGAGGGTAACAAATCTGTTATAACAGTAGTGCTCACGATTCTGAGCGGACCGGAAAACTCACGAATAACTGGATACTTGATGATGATCTTATAAAGTTGTTTAGTGATGATATATGGTACATATGACTCCGATATATGTTCTTATGGGAATTAAATGGGAGCTTAAGCATAACTTGATAATACTTGAGAATAAAAGTTTGACCTAATAAAATGCTATCTGCGATGAACCAGAGTCTAACCTTTTGAGCTTCATAACCCCATGTTAGCTTGCTAAGTACGGCATGTGTACTTACACTTGTTTATTTTCTTTACTTGGATAAAAATCCCGGATGGGTAACGATGACTACTGGTGTATGAGAATTTCCGGAGGATTATTAGGCTTGTGGTCAACCAGTTGACCTTCCCTGTGATGACGGCCACGAGAGTTTAATTATCTTTTTATTATTCCGCTGTGATGTATAAGACTAAGTTTTATTATAACTCTGATGTATGGGACACCGTGATGATACTATTGTGATTTGTCAGCTTGTGTGTGTGATTGATTCCTGGGCACACACGAGTTTTGTGCATTCAATTTTATCCTTAAAATTGGGTGTGACATCCCTCCCGGACGCAAGTAGCAACAAAGGAAGCCGGCAAGCACATGAATGCGAGATCCACGCTCAACTTCGGCAAGCAGGCAAGCAAAGGATGGTCGCTGCACGTGGGTTATGTGTGGGCGCGAGCTCCGTCGCGCATGGGCTCCGCTGCGGGCCTACAGTTGGCCTACGAGAGAAAGAAGAAGCAGTGTGTGAGGCTGACGAGTGGGGTCCATTTGTAAGTGAGAGAGTCTGACAGCAATTTTTACGAAAGCCACAACTGCTCAACCAAACGGTTTTCGGCTTTTCTCATAGCCCACATCTCACAGCGGTTTTTCCACAGTCCACAACCCACATCAAGTTTTCCAAAAGCAACAGCTCAACCAAACAGGACCATAATGCCTCCTATTTGCCTAGAATCCATGCCTCCATGTTCATTTCATCTTCTTGTGAGAACCGAGCGGGGCTCGGTTGGTCAGCTGAGCAGGGGCTCAGGCTGCCTGCCCACGGTTCGAGCACTGGCTCCCGCGCGGCTCCTCACCTTTCTTCTTAAGAGTATCCGGGAGACTCCCCCGTGTGTTAAAAAAAATCATCTTCTTGTTGTACTATAATGGGAGTGGTTGGAATATGCGTGTTAAGTGGATGACAGGCCCCCAACCAAGACCTGAGCAAATCTAACCTGGCCCGTGAGCCTCATTGGATATGGCATGGACAGAGATATTGCTACCCATAAAAAATCAGCCACCCTGAACCTAGGCCAAAACGATACATTTTTACACTAAAAACTTGTCAGTGGACCCTCTAGGTCCAAGCCTAGTCCAAACCTACCCAATGGAAAGATCTGTGTCAA